CCAGTTAGCCAATTAAATGGGATTTTATATCTCTATTATAAAGTACAATAATTCTCATATATGTCCAAATAGTCTACTCTTAACTAATACTTTAACACCTATTTCTCATTTGTATACTGCTCTATGATTTATAAATTAGTGTAACATTTCATAAGGACTCCAATTTAGAAATACCCATCATTGGAATGCTGAGCAAAACTTCCTCACAGCAAGAGGTCACCTTCAAAATATCAGCATGCAGTTTAATATAACAGCTTTCACCTAAGTCTCTTAACTTCTTTCTGTTCAAGTCTCACAACAGGCATTCTTTGCCTTCCTTGACTTGTCAATTACATTCAGCACAGTCAGCCATGCTCTCATTTGAAAAAAAAATTTCTTGCCAAGACTCTTCTATCTTCTTGCCTCTCTAATCAGCATTTTGGTCTCAGAATCCTTATTCCAGCTTTCAGTGCACATCTACCAAGCTCCATTCTTGGCCCCTTCCTCTTCTCATACCACATCCTCTTTTGCGGATCCTATTCAAAGTCATGCCTTTAGCTATAGCCTTTACATTGATGATTCACAAGCCTGTCTGACATATCCTTTTTGATGCCCAGCTATCTGGGTAAGCTCAACACAGTCAGAACTGAGATCTTCATCTTCCCTCTAACCAACTCTCCCTGCTTATGCCATCAACCCTACTCAGGTTTGTAATCTGGGAATCCATCTTTCACTCAAACCACTTTCTCAACATGGACTTGAGTGTGGAAGTGTAAATGTTGTCACTTCTTCATGCATGACAGATTTATGATCCAATCTTTCTTCTCTACCCATACAGCTATATCTCTGGTCCAAATCCTTATCTTACAGCTTCAGTACTATAATATCCCCTTTTTTGATTTTGACAAATGCAATCTTGCTCCCCATTCATTCAAACCATATCTGAAAAAAAAAAAAAAACGCACAGCATCCCCCCACAATTTGCATATCTCCACTGAATCAAGGACAAACTATTTGCCTTCATTGTAAAATCCTACTGAACAAATTATTTATACAGTATGTTAGAGAGACACAAAAAACCCTCTGTTTGACAAGTAATACCTGCCAAGTTTTCCAACAAGCACTTTATGCATTCTCCCAACCCTGGCATCTGCACCTTAAAACTCACATCATGATGCTCACAACATTTGGCATGACAAACCAGTTTGCTGTTTATTACACTAATCCGAATAGTTTCACTGTTATTTTGTGCTATCCATGGCTGTTAGTTGTTTTAACTTGTTGCCTCTTTTATTCTTTTCAGCAAGGTTGAGATTAATTGGTAGGGGCTAGAGCAATTCCCACCTGCCCTGGGCAGGAGGCTACTCAAGCCCTGCAGAGCCCACGGAACTGCTGCAGCTCTGCCTTCCCCTCCCCGCCACACTAGTGACTTAACTACCCAATAAGCCTAAACTAATCGAGTAGTTGCTTACATCCCTAGACTGCAGTGTATATAACTGTATAACTGCTAGGATTTTTTAGTGGTTACACGGTTACATTTTTAAACACCTTTTTACATTCCTAATTTGTACGGTGCCTTGATCAAAGAAATCCTGATCCATGACTGGTATCCCCTAGGTAAGTAGAACCTACCTTCAGGGATACAAAAAAAACTGTATCCGCATCTACAAAAATGAGCCACTGAGACTGGCACTGACATCCCCAGATGAGGATATAAAGCAGATATCCATCAATTTGCAGGGCTCTGCCTCTAGATATTACTCCAAATAACGTTGAAACAAGAACTTCAAGAGTTCCCTAGACTAAGAATGTGCTACATTGTTCAACAGAACTCATCAACACAATCTAATTTAAGGTGATATTATTAATCTCATGTCTCCAAATAAGTTAGTTCAAATAGTTTGCATCGTAATCACTGACCACTACTATACATGCAAGATCTTTTTCTGCTAAAGATTTTTTAAAGGTTAATTTTACATAAAAGTTGACTATTTAATCATATGAAGATGTTTAATGATGTTTAGAAGGATTCCTGAGAAATGTGTTATCAGCTCATGATGCCATATAACAGGGATGTCCAAACTTTTTTCAAAGAGGGCCAGATTTGAAGAAGTGAACATGCGTGAGGGCCGTCCCCGCACTCTCAGCCCCAAGGCGGAGGGCCCGCGGGGTCTGAGGTGGGCGAAGAGCGCAGGGCATGCCGGCCTCACGGCGGCCCGGGGGGCAGGGCGAACCCGCAGCCGAGCAGGGGAGCGGGGCTGCGGACGTGCCCTACAGGGCAGGCTCTAGGACCGCGGAGGCCATGGGCGGCGGCGCGGCCGGAAGCGGTGTGCTGGGCACGCCAGTTCAAAAGAGCGCCGGGGAGCCAGGAGAGGGGGAGGAAGCGGGGGCCGTATTAAATCGGAACACGGGCCGCAATTGGCAACACGGGCCGCAATTGGCCCGCGGGCCGGACTTTGGATATGCCTGCCATATAACCTTCAGAAAGCAGATTCCATTCTAGTAGAAGACAAGACCAGAAATGGCTTATTCCTGTTTAAGCACCATTAATTAATAAATATACTATACGTAAGACAGGGAGCACACTCACAAATATCAGTAAGAAAAGGCTTCAGTGTCTAAGGCTGAGAGTTCCATTCCCCATGTATTATGCATTAGTTGCTCAAACACCATTCTCCAAGGGTATGTCTACACTTTCACCTTCTTTCAAGAGAGTGATGCAAATGCAGCTTTGCAAAATTGCGAATGAAGTGCGGATTTGAATTTCCCGCGCTTCATTTGCATATTTGTGTTACGGCGCTATTTGGAAATAACAAACGCTGTGTAGATGCGGTTATTTCGAAAGAAAACCTTTCTTCTGAAATAACTGGTAAACCTAATTGTAGGAGGAATAAGGGTTATTTCAGAAGAAGGGTTTTCTTTCGAAATAACAAATGCTGTGTAGACACAGTTGTTTCGAAATAGTGCTACAATGAAATAGTGCAATAACTCAAATATTCAAATGAAAGGTGGGAAATTCAAATCCGCACTTCATTTGCAATTTCGCTCAGCTGCATTTGCATCCCTCTCTCAAAGGAGGGCGAAAGTGTAAACATACCCCAAGTAATGGAAATTTGCACATTTTAGTGTTTATCTGCTTTATACAATATTTTGAGCTCCTCAGGAAAAAGATTTTTTTTGCAAAATTGAGGAAAACAGTTAAACTAATCAGATATTAGTATAAACAATTTCTCATTTCCTTAAGTAACAATGCAAAAGGTTCTTCTGCATTAGGTGCCATCAATTTTTAACTTCTTGTGAAGCTTGAGATGCTTTATGATGGGAATACTAAATGCAATCTCATTAGGAGGCTTTCTACAGAATTCTGTTTAAAATGTTTATATACCACACATTTAAAAACTGTGCACACTTCACTGAATGTGAGGGGGAATGTATCCCTAAAAGGATTTTTATTGCCCACAATACACATTTATAAAACAAAAAATTTTGTTGATAAAATACTGTGACTTTAATAATAATACTGCTTACTTTTATTATAACAAACTTCATTGGTACCAAATAGCACCACTTTGTTAAGAAGCTGGAAAACGTTACTTTTCAAAACATATCAACTCTCACCCTCTTATTCTCTCAAGTTTTGCTTTTATTCTGCAACATTAGAAAAGTAACACAAAAATAAATCAGCCATATTTAGATTCACAAATGTATAGTAATTTCAATACATAATCCAGAGTGGCAGGGTGGTGGGGGTGGAGAAGGGAAGAGGACCTAATCATGCAAAAGATTTGTGCTTTACTTTTTGCCTGGTCCCACTGGCTTGAAAGTTAAGTAAATGTGTATGTTTTTATGTGATTATAGTCTAAGTAAATATATCTAGCAGATGCTGCATGTATTCTTTTACTAACCACAGCAGGAAAATGATGCTTGAGAGAGAGAATGGACAATACAACTAATTTTTAAATGTTTGTTCTTAAGAGTCTGAAAAGCTCCTCAGACAATAAAAGTAAACTAGTATGTCAAATTAAGGAATAAATTTACATAACTTCCACATCTCAGGCACTGAGCGTGCAGTTCAGGCATTGCATCTGAAACATTCTTGGAAAAAAGAAAAACATTGAGGAGCCCTGTATTATGCTACAAGTGATCAAATTTCAAGAGGTGGAAATCCACCCTATTGTACTCGTACTTGCATTTCCTGTTTCCAAAGAATGTTTACAAGAGATCCATAAAATACTATTTAATATTTAACCGGTCACATGCCCATTAACTTTACATTATACATTTACATACATAAATATGAGCGTGCAGTGATTGAATAGTACAGTCCATCACATTAGGAGGGGATCTAAACCAATAAGCTTCCTTCTAGGATCCGTCTAAACAGAATATCAAGAAACCCCTGTTCTCAAGTTACAGGGGCAGAGTAACATTTAACCCCGAGTCGCACCACAAGGCCACCTCCCCCCACCCCATCTATGCCTCTTAGCCGAAACATGGAGAGGCTACTATGCCAAATCCGTAGCCCGAAACCTTCGCATCTGTTTACAGCCGGGCTGGCACGAGTGACTCAGAGACATTTTAGCGAGGAGGGATCAAGCCGTGGCGGTGGGAGAAGGGGACGGGCGGGAAAAGTCTGAAGCCAACGCGAGTTGCCAAACAGGTGGGGAAGCTCCGGGGTCCGCTTAACACCGCGACAGGCAGGTCGCCCCTTCCCCCCGGCCAGAGACACAGCCGCCACCCCAGGGCAGAGCTGGCCCGCACGCACCGCCGGAGCCCCGCAGCGCCAGGGGCGAGTGTCCGGGGCAGACGGACCGTGCTGCGGCCCAGCGCCCGGGCTGATCTCCCCCGCTCCGGCATCGCCCTCCCCCTTCTGCCGCCCAGCTCCATCCCAGGGCCAGCGCTCCCCCCGCAGCTCCGGGCCCCGCAATCGGCACCCCTCCGCCGGCTGGGCTGGCGAAGTGGCCGCTCGCCCGCGCTCCCGGCTGCAGAGCGACCCCCGCCAACAGCTCCAACGGACTCACCTCCAGCCCCGGGCAGCCCCTCGCGCAGCGCCCGGCCGCGTCTCTACCCCGCCCTCGGCTGGCAACTTTCTTCCAATGCTCCGCGGCTGGCGCGTGACCGCTGAGGGAGGGAGGCGGCGCGTGCCCGAGAGCCGGCGTCGTGAGGGAAGGGCGGGGGAGCGGAGGGGAAGGCGTCTCGCGCGCCTTCTTTCTGTGGCCCGGATCTGCCGACACCGCAGCGACCTCCAGCACGCGAAGCAGGTGGGGAAAGGCACAGCCTGCGCGACTAGGGGGGAGAGGAGGGGACTTGAAAGCTTCCTGAAGGCGATTGGTGGAGCAGGACAGTGACGTAGAACACGCCCAACCAAAAACAACGTCGGGCACCCCCTCAGCCGGAGAGAGCTGGGCGGGCGCCGCGGAAAGGCGCATGCGCGGTTAGTACCTGTTGTGAGTACAACCTGTGGGGCGCCGAGAGGTTTGCTGGAGAGGGATAAACTCACAAGCGCTGGCCGCGTTCCCTGCCTGCTCCCTGTCTGTTAAGCCAGGCTGGGGCCTCGGGGCAAGAGTCTGGCGTGGAGAGGGCCCTGTTAACTGGGCATGCGCCCCCTAAAGGAGTCATGGTTTTCTTGTTTTTTTTCTTTTCCCCAGAGACGACGGAGGGGCTGTGGGGCTGGGGTATGGCGGGGGAGAGCCACTGCTGAGGGACTTTGTCTTCTGGGCGGAGCTCTTGCCCTGCTTGGGTCCCTGTTCCTTCCTGCCCATAGGGGATGCTTGGCAGAGGTGGAGGGAACTGAAGGCACCCCAGGAGTGGTAGGGGGAGGGATAGCTCAGTGGTTTGAGCATTGGCCTGCTAAACTCAGGGTTGTGAGTTCAATCCTTGCAGAGGCTGTGTAGAAATTTGGGGCAAAAGTTCATCAGGGATGGTACTTGGTCCTGCTGTGAAGGTAGGGGGCTGGACTTGATGACCTTTCAAGGTCCCTTCCAGCTCTAAGAGATAGGCAATCTCCATTATTATTAAATGGAGTCTCCACTTGTGCCCACTGCCACCTCAAGGATGGGCAGCCCAGTAGTCTCCGTAGGCCCTGTCCACTGGCTCCATCAACAGCTTTGAAGAGTAGTGAGCACTGTCTGGGGTTCTCTGTCCAGTTCTCTTGTTTTAAACCTGTGACCCCCACACCTTGATCCTTTTTGACATTATTTGTCCCCAGAAATGAGTTGGACTTTGGGTCTAGTCGTCCCTCCTGCAGGGCTAGGGGAAGGACTTTGAGAAGTGCGCAGGCTGCATCCGCCCACCCCTCCCATGGTTTCCAAATAGCACCTTAGTAGGCCCTGTGGTGGCTGAGGTGAACAAGAGAACAGGAGAGGAGAAATGGTAGGGGTTTTCCCCTCCCCCAATCATTTGCCATCAAGAGGAAAGGACAGGAATAATCACTGGGAGGGAGGAAACAAAAGCGGAGTAGAGGAAGGGAAAGGGAGAGAAGGGTCACTACCCTCTACTCCCTGCCCCCAAACTAGGCCAACAGAAAATACCAGGACAACTTTCAGCACAGGATGTAAGGGGGGGGGGGAACTAAAGGAGTCATGATGATAGGGTTGTAGCAATGAGAGACCCTGTCCCCCAGCCCCAAAACACTTACCCTACCCCACCCACCAGAGTTGGTGATCCAGCCCTAAGTCATTGATTATCAATTAATCAGGAGCTGCCAGAGGCCGGCTGCAGCAGCTGGTGCCCTAGGCGGGGCGGTGCAATCGGTGCCCCTGCCTGCATGGCAGTTAATGGCCGTGACGTCATCATCGGCCACCCGGGCCAGCGGCGCCCTAGGCAGCTGCCTAGCTCGCCTAGGCTCACGGGCCGTCCCTGCAATTAACTAATGTGTTTGTAAATTCAAGTCTGGCCAAATCCTGTTTGAGTTCCTCGACATAGCCACAAAAGCCTCTGTTGAGAAAGTTTTGGTGGAAGCCAGCCCGCTTTACATTACTCAGGTATTGTTTCAAGGTATCTACCCACTCAGGCAGACACTAATATAAGGTCATGTTTTTGAGCTTCATGTATTTTTTTTACTTAGTGATTAATATAAAATCCCATTGCAATGAAGGGGGATCTTCCCATTGACGGCAGTAGAATTTAGCTCAATCTTTTAGTAACTATCCTGTAAGTGTGATACTCAGAAATAATCAGTAATCTAAGTGAAGTCAAATAACTTTTACTTTGACCCATAATGGATTGTTCAGAATACATGGAACAAAATAAACAAAATTGCATTGGACTTGAATGCTCCTTTCTAGTGTATGGTCCAAAAAAGACTCTTTACTTTTAGCATTACTGTTTTCCAGTTTTGTTCTGTTGACCTATCTGTGGTTTGGATTTCCTCCCTCAGTCTGGTTGGTGTGTTTTCAAAATTTTAATTTTGTTATCTTTCCATATTTCTAGTTGCTATATTTCTCTAGGTTAATATTTGGAACATCTCCCAGTTTAGTATCATAAGCATATTTAATTATCATGCTGTTCACTCCATCTTCTAAATAATTAAGTAATATATTAAATATAATCACACCCAACACCGATCCTTCAGAGCTGGGGTCTTAGACTCACATCCCGGAGGCCACGTGTGGCCCAAGCAGTTCCACAATCTGCCCTGCACATAACTGCTGGCACTTGAGTCCCTGAAGCCTTGGTGTGATGTTCTTCCCCTTCCCCCAAGCCCAGCCTCTGCTCCACACCCACTCTACCTCTTTTCACCCCTGTTTTGCCCTCCTCCCCCGCCACTGCACTGTTTCCCTCAAGTCTCCTACCTAAAGGGACACAGCCTTAAAGTGCTAGGGATGGGATGATAGCAGAAGTCTAGCCTCCATGCACTCCCCACGGGGGCAGGAACCATGAGGAAACAGAGCAACACAGCAGCTCCACTCCGCTGCCATCTTCCAGGCTTGCCTAATCACTCCACTTCACCAAACTGTGCTAAATCAACCAGAGAGTGGCAGGTGGGCCTGACCTAAAGGGACACAGCCTTAAAGTGCTAGGGATGGGATGATAGCAGAAGTCTAGCCTCCATGCACTCCCCACGGGGGCAGGAACCATGAGGAAACAGAGCAACACAGCAGCTCCACTCCGCTGCCATCTTCCAGGCTTGCCTAATCACTCCACTTCACCAAACTGTGCTAAATCAACCAGAGAGTGGCAGGTGGGCCTGGGAGCAGATGAGGCTAGGAGATGTACAGACACACTGCTGGGGCCCTGTCAGAGAAGGGTACATTCTGGCCTGCAAGAACTGGCTCTAAAGTAAATTCAGTGTGAGGTTCCTGCTTTAGAGTGTACTATTAGACACTAAATTGATACATGAATCATTTTTTTCCATTAATTTGTGCCTATAAAGTTTCATTGTGTATGACATTGTTCTCTTCCACACTAATCTAAATTAATTTTATAAGTAGTGTTAACGAGGTACCATCTCAAATACTTAATCCATAAAGATTGCATCTACTTATTCATTTTTTGAGGAGTAACATTAGTTCGGACTAAGGGCTTTAGTCCGAACTAACGCGTCCCGGCGCGCACTTCCTGGTTCGAATCAGCTGTGATTCGAACTAGCGCGCCGGCGAGATCATGTTAATGGAGCGCGGGATATTTAAATCCCCGCTTCATTAACTACTTCGGTTGTCTCCATTTGCATCCCTAGTTCGAACTAGGGATGCAGTGTAGACGTACCCTGAATGTTCTGAATCCCATAGTGGAGACTCCAGTGGCTGTGGAGTAGACTTCTTCCTTTTCTAATGCAGATTTTCTCAATACAGTTAATGTACCAGCACACTCAAAATTAATGGTAAATCACTATGAAAGATAATGTTAAATGAGTGGAAATAATGTGTTAGTTATAAACAATGTTTGAAGTATGTCTTCACTGTAAACTGCTGGGCTTCTGTAAGCCATGAAGAATCACAGGAGTTATTTCATTAGGAGAGCTTTCACAGAGCATAAACACGTATTTCCTTTTTTCTTCTTCCTCACTTCCTTCTAGACATAACTGCAACCACACACAGTAAACTTTTTTTTCCTTTATTTGTTTCATGTTACACTACCTGATTGTTAATATTTCTCCAGTTTATTTATCAACAGCACTAACTTCCCTGAAAATGCTAACCATTGTGCCAGGAGCCATTTCCCTGAAGTCATCTAAAGTTTATTAATTTACTATTTTTAAGGACCTTAAGCCAAGATTTTCAAATATAGATCCCTAAAGTTAGACTCCTAAATCTATATTTGGGCCTCTAAATAAACAGTTTGATTTTTTTAAAGGTTCTGAGCAGCCAGCAGTACCCATGGACTGCTGAGTGCTCATCAGCCCTTTCTTTAGAAACTGAAATAAAAGTTAACAATCAAACTCTAGGGACCCATTTTTTAAATCCCTTAGCCACAAGGGTTTTTTTTTTGTTTTTTGTTTTTTTTTTTTTTTGTTTTTTGTTTTTTTTGCAGGAAAATTTTCCTATTCTGTTTGGTTTCAATAACCTGTGGTAAATGCATGCACTCATGGACATCAAATACACGCTCACTGAGTTAATCTCAAACTGATGTCCTAGGGAGGGATGATAGATGCACTGTGCTATAAGAAGAGAATATGGCTGTGTCTAGACTGGCCAGTTTTTCCAGAAAATCAGCCGCTTTTCTGGAAAAACTAGCCAGCTGTCTACACTGGTCGCTTGAATTTCCGCAAAAGCACTGACTTCCTACTGTAAGAAATCAGTGCTTTTTGCAGAAATACTATGCTGCTCCCGTTCAGGCAAAAGTCCCTTTTGCGCAAAACTTTTGCACAAAAGGGCCAGTGTAGACAGCTCAGATTTGTTTTGCGCAAAAAAGCCCCGATCGCGAAAATGGCGATCGGGGCTTTTTTGCAAAAAGTGCTTTTGCGGAAAAGCATCCGTGCCAATCTAGACGCTCTGTTCTGAAAATGCTTTTAACGGAAAACTTTTCCATTAAAAGCATTTCCGGAAAATCATGCCAATCTAGACGCAGCCTGTGAGTGCTGCTGCCTTGTAGTACTCAGAAGTTTCCAGACTTATATCAAGTACTGTATGGTTTATGTTCCCTTTTATCAGAGAAACTCAATACAGTAAACTTCCGATAATCCAGCACCTTTAGGACCCATGGGGTGCCGGATTATCAGATATGCCAGACTATAGGAAGGGGGGGCTATGCGGGGTCTGGGGTGGAGTGGGGAGGATGTGCCCCTCGGCGCTGCAAGACCAACCTGGCAGCACCC